GACTGTTTCCATCATACCCACAGGGCACCGTGGGGTGGGGAATTCAGGTACCTACACCGTTTAGAAAGCTGCCAGTCCGGTTTTCCTGACCTCAATTGGATGATGATAGTGCTGCGAGCCTTGCGCAGGCCCGGTGTGCCACTTCAGAATTTTCTTGTCTGGGGCCGGCCATGCCGCTCCCCCCCAGGGGGGCTCACGTCTTTTCCACCTCTGCACCCACCTCCAGAGCTGCTCGCGCTTCAGCCAGTGATTATATGAGGCTTGGTCCAGGTTGGCTCGTTGTTCCGGTGTCATCTCTGCTGTGGCCTTAGCACCCTGAATCCATTGCTGTTCCCAGTCCACTGGCAGGGCTGCCGGGTGAACCACAGCTCCCATGTGTCTCTGTGCCCCCCTTGTCACCCCCCGGTGCCGAAGCCTGGTCCTTATGGCCGCACACGCATTCTCAATTTGTTGCGCCATTCCTGAGGCCTTCATCCTGTTGACCGCCTTTGCCACTAGCCCATCCAGGTGGATGTCTAAGGGTACTGTGTGGGTTTCCGCTTCCAGTGTGCTTGTTGGGGTTCTTTTGTATGCCCCTGCCACTATTCTGAGGCAGGAGTTCTGCACTGTGGTCAGCTTGAGGGCCAGTCCTGACTTAGCTGGACCCGTGCCCCCCTGCCCCTGTGGCTGGTGCCATGCTATTGCTCCATAGGTCAGGGCCGGCCTGATGACCATGTTATACACCATTCTCGCTTGTCGTAGTGGGAGCCCCCATGTGGATTGGGTGGTTTGGGACAGTGCTCTGACTTGAGTCTTCATCTTGCCTGCCACCGCGTCCAGGTGGCCCTTCCATCTCAGCCTAGAGTCTAACCATACACCCAATACCCTCATCACCTGTTTCGGTTGTATAGTTTGTCCTGGCAGTCTCAGCTCAGCCTGTAGGTTGAATTGGTTGCGCGCCCGTGTGAAGTGCATTAGCTCATACTTCTGGGGGGCAAAGACCGCCCCGTGCCGTGCTGCCCACTCCTCGCATGCCCGATGCATGCGCAGGAGCTCCCTGCAGTTGTCCTCAGTGGACTGGCCATAGGCCATCACGTTGACATCGTCTACAAAGGCTATGCACACCACCGGGCGCCCCGGTCTTGAGCAGATGCGCACCAGTTCCTCATTGTAGAATAGGAATAGTATAGGTGATAGGGGTGACCCCTGCGGGATGCCTGCTGGGATGTCAAAGGTGTCTGATTCCTGGCCCTCAAAGGCAATTGTGGATTTCCTGTTGGTCATGAAGGGACGCAACCCATCCCACCAGGTCCCTGGGGATGCCCAGTCGCCGGAGGATGTGAACCATTCGCTCCCGCAGCACCTTGTCATAGGCCCCTGTCATGTCTAGGGAGAGTACCGATGCCACCTGTCCTGGGTGCTGCCACACTGTCCTTATCTGGGCTAGAAGTTGTGCTATGGCTGTTTCAGTGGACCTGCCCCTTCTTGCCCCCATTTGCTGTGAGGGTAGCAGGTTGTGGTCCTCCGCGATCTTCCGCAGGCGTTTTGCAGTTGCTGCCTCCACAATCTTCCCTATTGTGTCCAGCAAGGCAATGGGTCTCCACGCTCCTGCAGTCTGGTAGTCAGCCTTCCCTGGCTTGCGCAAGGCCACTGTCTTGGCTTCCTTAAACGTGTCTGGGTAAGTCTCCCAATGCCAGCATGCATTGGTGAGAGCTGTTATGGCCTCCACAAATGTTCTGCCCAGCATCTTAAGGAACTCGTTGGTGATCCCACTCCTCCCTGGTGCCTTCCTGTTTGGCAGTCTCTGGATCAGGCTTTCCATGTCCTCCACACTGATGGTGTCATTTGACGCTTCCCTTTCAGCTTGCAGCAGCTCCATATTGGTGTCACTTAAGTCGGCGGGCTCTGGCTGTGGGAAGAACCGTTGTCGTAATGCCTCAGCCTTCCCCTCAAAAGAGGTTTCTACCGTCGCGTCAGCCCCTTTCCCTGTTCTCAGGGGGGGGACAGTAGGTGCCTGTGGGGGCAGATGGCTTCTTTCCTTGCCCCATTTTGCTAGTCCCCACATCAATCTGGGGTCATCACGGGTCCTGTCAACCAGATCTCTGAAGTTTGCTGTCTTAGCCAAGTGGATTTCTCTGTTGCGCTTGCAGCGTGCCCTGAGCCGCTCCATTTCTGGGAGCTGGGACCTCCTAGCCTGCTTGTACTCCTCCACTGCCTTGGCCACCCTCGGTGACCACCATGTCTTGGATTTTAACCCAGCCTTACTTACGGTGGCGTGTTTGTCCGCTAATGTCCCTACAAATCCTACCAGGTAGTCTGCATACTCCTTGACTGCTTGCCTGGAGTCCAGGCTTTGTGGCACATATAGCTTTTGGCAGTCCCTTGCTACCTCCTCAGGCTCCGCATTCTTCCAGTTTCGTCTCTCAGCCTCCTTTGGGATGGGTGTGAGTTCCAGTGTTGTTTCCATGGGCTTATGGTCAGATCCTTTGCATGCCTCCTCCGCTATTGCACACCTCCTGAGCTTGTCGTGCAGGAGTGGTGATAGAAAGGTGAGGTCTATAGTCGTCCCTGGGCTGCCTCTGTCCTGCCATGTGGTAGCCCCTACAGGTGTGGCAAGCTGGAGACCCAGCCTATCCACCTGTGCTATTAGCTGCCATGCCATGCGGAAGTTTCTCTCCACTCTCACCCCTCCCCACCTCTCATGGTGGACATTAAGATCTCCTAATATGACCAGCTCTGCATCTGTGCCCATTCCGGCTACCTCCTGCAGCTGGCCTATGGGGGATTCCTCCGGTTCACTGCTGTAGCCCCCTGGAGGAGGTGCATACACATTGACTATTTGCACCTTACCCAGGTCGGTGGTGATTGTCAGCACTGCAATGTATTCTGAGTGGTAGTGGCACTCCCATGTGTGTTCCACGAGCCTTTTGTTGACCAGAAAGCATACTCTTGGGTGTGTTTCCGGGTGATATGCTGGCCAGAAGCCGCAGCTTCTGGGGCAGTGTGTTGCTAGCATGTGGGGATTCCGGCTGGGCTCTTGTACTGCAATTACGTCGTATTTGTCTTCTGTTGCAGGGTCTGCCAATAACGCACCCATAACTCTCGCAGAGTTGTGCACGTTATATTGTAGGAGGTTTAGTGTGTCCCTCATTGTTGCGTGGGGGCTGGGGTCTGCGTGTAGTCCATTAGGTCCTCCTGTAGCTGAGACCCAGGTTGTGAGCTCTGTGGTGCTATAAAGGCACTTAGAGCTCCTCTCTGGGCTTCGCCTGCTTGCAGAATCCCCTTGGGTCGGCCTGGTCCTCTTCTTTGGCCCTCTGGTTCCCCAGTGGGTAACCTTTTATTTCCTCTGGTTTGCACCACCTGCCACCCATCTTGTGCTTTTGGCTCCATAAACCTACGGGGTCTTTCCATGTATGCTGTACGGGCCCTGCTTGATGCCCTCTCCCTCTCAGGGCACTTAGAGACCCAGGCTGGGTGTGTTCCCCTACAATTTGCGCACCTCGGTTGTTCCCCAGCTTTTCGTGCTGGGCATTCCTTGTCGTCATGTTCTTTTGCCGCGCAGAACCCGCACCTTTTGGCCTGCCTGCAGAATCTGGCCGTATGCCCATACTCATGGCAGTTAAAGCACCGGGTGACCTGCGCTTCCCGGTGGAAGATTTCAACGTCACAAAATATGCTGTCTATTATCAATCCATTGTCTACTAGTAGGTTGGCTTGCTGAGGCGAGGTGACGCTGAGTACAAGAGACCCAACCTTTGCCTGCAAGCTGGCATTCCGTCGTAGAGACAGTCTCTCAATTTGTACCCCTCTTCGGAGTCCTTCATTCTGTGCGTAAATTGCCTTGATGGCTTGCTGTTCCTCCTTCCAGTTGGTGTTGCCCATTGGGACTCCCTTAACCATGACTGGGTACAGGGTGTGCTTTGCCTTCGCCTTTTGTCCCAAGACTTCCAGCCATGTGCTGCTCTTAGTCAAGGCCTCCCTGGTCTCCCTCGCGTCGGTTGTCAGGATGATGTCTCCACTGGGGAGACATCTTGCTGCAAGCACCTTTCCCTTTGTCACATCCATAATTCTGGCGTTGACGGCTGCCACAATCGCTGGGGGGGTGGCCTCCTCAGCTGGGAGGGCTTCGCAGTCCCGGCGTAGGACAGTAATCTCGCGGAGGGTTCGGTTAGGCACTGGTTTTTCTGGAATTCCCTGTCCTGCGACCTTGGCCCATGATGACAGTTTGGCTTCTTTCACTCCTTCGGGTTGGCGTTGTGCGCGTGTCGCCACGCCTAGGGCCAACAGTAGTACCCACTAACAAAAACTGTGGGAGGATAACGTTGTTGTCATTACTAAAACTAACTACGCGAGAGCAACACAATATGTTGGGGGGCACGTGATAGGGTAGCCGTAGTACCCCCTAACACCCCCCCGTGCTACGGCGCCGCCAATGCACTGCCGCCCGGGGGCCCCCTTTGCTCAATTCTTCCAAAAACACAATAACAATTAATTACAAGATTTGGACCCTGATTTCCTCTTTGGGAATAGGTGCCCATACAGCAATAACTATAAAAAACAGAATAATACAAGCAAAATTCCGTAATCTCCCGTACCACTGATACCATTCTTTTCCTTCCAACAAGGTCGTTCCATATGACTTATCATCAAACCAGGCCAAGTTGTATTTGAAAATTCACCCTCCACGGGCATATCCATGTTCTTTGTGGTAGGGACTGCCCCATCTACCACCCATCCTTTCCCATAGATCACTCTTCGCACAATCATATTGATAGATATAGGGTGCCCATCGCCCCCCCAAACCACATCACGGTCGCTATCAGTATCAAGATCATCATCGCCTGTGGGATCATCATCACTTGTAGGATCGTCATCGCTTGTAGGATTGTTATCGCTTGTAGGATTGTTATCGCTTGTAGGATTGTTATCACTTGTAGGATTGTCCTCCATTGATCCATCCAAACATTCCATCTTGGAATCCATATCAATATCCACACTGCTGTAGCCGCTATCATCACTGGTATCGCTGATATCATCACCAACATCATCGTTGGCATCGTTGGCATTGCTGGCAGTGTTGGCATTGCTGGCAGGCCGCCCAGCAAAGATATCTTCTATAGCTGTCCACAGAGCATAGGCAGATAGTTCCTTGGGTGTAACAAGATAAGATCTTGCTTGCAGAGTGATTGCAAACCACATGTAGTTATACAGCCACATATTGCATTCTTTCCAAAACCGTTGCATATCAGCACTGGCATCCTCTTTGGGTCCAAGTTGTCTCTCATCTATGATATCAATTGTATGAGATTGCCTCGCTGCGAGGAGGATCTCTTCCCTCCACACTGAATAATTCACAAAACCAGTGAGGATAACTGGCTCCCTTATGAATCTCACTTGGTCACGGAATTCATTAAGAATCTTCACAATAGCAGACGTTCTGCCTTTTCTCTGCAGATAGTTTGCTAAATCTGCATTAATGTTCTCATCACTAGCAGAGGGTTCACCTCTACTTGCTTTCATCTGTTGGACTTCATGCTGGAGTCTCGCGATCTCCAATCTCATGCGAGTTTCCTCACTCACATCATCACGGCTACTAGAGCCACCCGCGTTATCCGACATCTCATTGTTGTCAATTGGGTCTTCGTATTCGATATTCGACTTGTTCGATTCTTCTTCGATTGTCTCGTCAGGTTCAAAATGCCTCTGGTGCTATCACCCTTCTGTTGGTTGCAGGTGTTGGTAGACCTGCGTCCAGTCCTTCTTGTTGTGCCTCCGGTGTTTGAGGACTTCTTCTTCTACGCGTCGTCACGTAGTCCTTCGTTAAATCAGGCGTTCCACCCGATCTCAGATTAACCATTAGGTTCAAATCACTTAACAAGCCGTCTAGGCACGCTTTTAACAATGCGTGGAGACGTAGTTAGCACGTTATTTCGCTCTTTCGTAGCTTATAAGGGCCATAACCTGTGGGAGGATAACGTTGTTGTCATTACTAAAACTAACTACGCGAGAGCAACACAATATGTTGGGGGGCACGTGATAGGGTAGCCGTAGTACCCCCTAACAAAAACTCAAGTCACCTGATCCTCCGCCTTGATCAGGAACTTTATTAATCCGCCACTTCGCCTCCTGTCAGCCCCCATTAATAAGCAGGCCTGAATAACTCCGTCCAAGTTCTTCCTTCGCCGTTTTCTCCTCCGCATAAAACAATCCCCGTCCTCCGCCTCGACGCACCGTCCAGAGAACTTTACTGGCGGATGCGATCATAAGAAAACTGCCCCCGCGTGTCTGCAATCGTGAGTTCTATGTATCCCGTGTGATGGCAAACGCTGGCTGCTGGTGCAGTCTGCACGTTGCAATGACTGGTCACCCGAGACTAACTTTTCATATTTTCCCTCGAATGGCTCCGTAAGACTCACGTAAATCTTGCCACTACCCTCGTACATGGCAGACAACCGCGTTGTCCCAGACTATCCCGCGAGCCACCAGTCTTCCGGAGACCCGCTTCAACCACAACCATCGCGCTCTGCTGTCACTGCAAGTGAGCCTGATACTATGGATTCTAGAGATCATTCTGAGATCCCTCCGGCTCACTCGTACCCTTCTCCCAACGCAGCGCAAATCGGTCAAGCTACTATGTCCTACTACGCCAACCAGTCGAGACACCTGACCGCGGACGAGCTGCATCTCTCCGCTGAATTGTCTCGTGAGGCTTCGACTGCGAATATGAATGATGGCTCAGCAAATGGAATTGGCCATGGCCAGCCAATGGTCTTGGGCCAGTCGAATTCTGGCTCGACTGACATCAATCGCGCTACGCAAGATGACCAACACCAGCAGCAGCAGCAGCAGCAGCAACAACAACAACAGCAACAACAACCACCACCACCACCACCACCCCAACATCAGCAGCAACAGCAACAACAACAACAACAACAACAACAACAATCACATCTCATTCAGTTCACACCCAATCAACAGGTTGGAGTTGATCCCAATCATGACTTGAGCTATGGTGATCAGAGTGCGCGGCGAAAGCGATCCAAGGTTTCTCGAGCTTGCGACGAATGCAGGCGCAAGAAGGTGAGTCAAAATTGGAATTTTCTAAGTTTGACGAAAGAGAAGCAAATAAATACAATAAAGTAGACTAGCTAACAAATCCAGGTTCGATGTGATGCGACCTCGGAAGCAGGAGTGGAAACTTGTACCAATTGCCGCCGTACCAATGCGACTTGCGAATTCAGTAGAGTCCCCATGAAACGCGGTCCTAGCAAAGGGTGAGTCCGCTCCATTTTCCCTGATCTTGACCAATTTTCGGGTACTAATATCATTTAATAGGTACATAAAAGAACTTGCCGACCGTATCAACAGTCTCGAAAATCAGATGCATCCTGGTATCCCGCAATCTGACATGCAGTACCAGCCAATGCAGGAGGACACATCTCCTCGTGGATACCAGGAATTTTCATCCCCAGTGGAAGGAAATCTTATACCTCGCAAGAGGACATACTCCATGTCAGAAGGTCTTCAAAACACTTTTGTGCAATCTCAATTTTCCCACAATGGGCGTCCCACATCCGTTGGAGGCTGGCCTGTCCAGACCCCAAGTAAAGACCAATCCCAAGGCCACCAGGGAGATGGTGGTGCTGCCGTCGACATGTATGCCAATACACTCACCAATGGGTCTGTGAGGGTTAACCAGCCGTTCTGGTCGCAAGAAGGCATAACATCAGGACAGCAGAGCGATATCAATGCCTTGGGTGATGAACTCCAACCGCCCATAGAGTTGGATGAAAAGGTTTTTGACGCGTAAGTTAACGCTCCGTTGCTCTAATATTCAACAAAGATTATGCATCCTGATTAATACCCCCCAACAGCTACTATAATCATATCCATCTCATTCTACCCGTGTTGCCTAATTCAAGGGATCGATTCCGTGATCATCTCCAACAGTGTAATCGCCAGATCCAGGAAGTGTTTCTCCACTGCCTTTACGCAGTTACAGGCGCGAATATGTTTCGTGCTGGAAATCAGTTTCAACAAATCCCAACATTTGAAAAGGCTCAGGATCGGCTATACGCGTCATTTCGAGAAGAGCCATCATCCAGGTCTTTGCCAACCAACTTTGTACTTCTCCAAAGTATTCTGTTGATGGTACTTGAAGCTGATACTCGCGGGCCGGAAAATCTGCTTGGCCAGAATGGCTTGTCAAAATCGGTGCTTTTGGAAGCTGCTTATCCTCTGTCATATCATATTGCGAAAAATCTGGGCCAGGTCAGAACTAGCAATCCAGATGACACCGAACCCGATTCAGATGCCAATATCGCACGACGTAATTATATTGTCGTCGGAATTTTATCACGATGGCACGCCGTTGCTGTAGCCGGGCCCGACATTTTTGATACCAACGAAACTGCCACTCTGGAAGATCAACAGATTTTTGGCGCTATACCGTTGCAAATATCGCGTATGTGATATATGAATTAACATCAATAATTCTGATATTTTTCTAGCAATGTAATAGCTGACAATTACATTTTCAACTCAGGTTATTCAACGCTCCTGACGGAGATCTACGACCTCCTTTTCGATTTAACACCGTACACGTTGTCAAACTACGGCGCTAGCCGCGCTCTTAAGCGCAACATGTACGGCCAACTTAGTCGTATTAGGGATGTTGAACAACTCCATCTTGACGACAACACTGACAATATGAATGCCGCACGTATGGAGGAACTCTCCCCACTCATGTTCTGGTTCATTACTCTCCTCCTCAAACGGCACCTATTCACATATACTCCGTCCGAAATCCTCTACCCAGCCGAAGTCATCATTGACCTCCTTCACAAACAATCGCAAGTGCAGACCTCTGAAACAGCAGCAGCAACCACCCAGATACTAACAACACATTCCACCCCATTCCACCTTCATTTCTTTTCCCTCGCCGTATTAACACTCCTTGAAATCACGGACCTGCCAGATCTCTCCAACGACGCTTGGGAATCATTAGAGAAAGCTCTTCAGATCATTTCGCACCGGGAAAAATACTCAGCCACGGCGGGAGAGTTTGAAAATCCCTTCTCTACACCCAGGTGGGATGCGTGCATCCATGGCTTCATCCAAGCAAAGCTTGCCAAGGGCCGACCACAACAATCGGGCTCTCAAGTCGGTGCTACTAGCGACAGCGGTGGGGCCGCGGGTCCCGGATCGGCCGCACCGCCACTCGTGGGGCCTACGGAACAGCGCTCGCTGCAACATTTGGCTGACCTAGCCGTCGGTGCTGGAAGCGCCGGTGGTAGTGGGAACGTGCCTTCCCCACCTGGTACATCTGCGGGCAATGGCCTGGGAGAGGAGAAGGAGTCAAATGCGAGAACTGCGGCTGGCCCATCGGAAATGGCAGATGGGATACAACAGCAGCCGTCTAGCGTGGAGCCCCAGAGACCGGCAGTATTTATTGATTTTACAAAGTTGACAAAAAAGGGCTATTTGAATGTGCTTGCAGCGAATTTTAGTTGAAATCGATTCATCGTAGTGTGTAGGTTTGGAATTTCCTTTTAGTTACCCTCCCCTGCCCCCCCTCCCCCAGGCACCCTCCGGTTTCTGTTTGTGTCTTCGTCAATTTTGCCTATGGGCTGGTGGATATGGATGCCCAAGTGAGAGAGAATGGTTGAAGACAAATTGCAGAACAAAACTTTTTTTTTTTAAAACAAACGAAAAATCGACTATTTCCTTTTTGAGACTGGGTTGCAGCTTTTCCTTTTAACTTTTTTTTTTTTTTTCGATTGCGCTGACGGGTGGCCTTATTTATATATTTATGTTAGATTGTACTGTACTTTAACAGCCCAGCTTTTGTCAGATAAGAACTGTACTTTTGGGATGTTGTCCTCCAGGCTCCTGTATCTATGTGGAATCGGCTGAATGGATGCCAAAGCAAAGGATCGGACGGCGGTAATATTGCTGATCGATGGAGATTGATAACATGGGCTAGTTGGTGTGGGTTATCTGTTTTTATTTATTGTTTAACTGTTTCTTAGCGCGGGCCAATGCGCGGTATATTGGCGTTTTTCCTAGCCTGGTGGGACGACTCTCTCTGTTCCTTTTACTTTCCACTCCTTGCTTTTTCCTATTCTATTGCATTGTTCTTTGCGTTGTTTCGCTCTTCTTCGTCTGCGTCCTCTTCTGTTCACATTTCCAATGATTCCCAATCACCAGTCTTGTGACATGAAACACCCAAATAATCTACTCTCTCATTCTTGTTTTAGGTTTACCTAGGGCATATCTTTTAATAAGTTCTTTTTACTTCCTAAAAGTTGTCAAGCAAAATAGCTTTTAGATACTACTTACTCATACGTGTTATTTTGTGTCTTGTCTATGCTCTTCTTTTCCCATTTTTATTGTTATCCGTACGCGTTTTCTGTTATTATTATTATTATTATTATTATTATTATTATTATTATTATTATTATTATCTTCTCGGCTGTAAAATATGTTTTTTTCGCAAATGCAGTAATAAAAATAGACATCGGAATTATGTGTTATTGGACTGTACTGTCAGAATCTGCCGCTTCCTTATTTGTATTTATTCTGTCGTTTTCTGACGAGTATATACTCGGGGAGACGAGCCATGAGAGGTATTATGGAAGGAATTTGACAGCCCGAGTTCTCTTCGCTATTCTGATTCTTGAGCCTCTATAACGGATATTACGAATGTAATTCAAGGAGTCAGTCTTCCATCGAACAGCAAAGATCGCTGAGTTAAATATAGTTAAAAAGTGGAAATAATTGGATAACATCGAAGATAACCGCCCTGTATGCGCACATGCAATCATGCGTAAGTGAGAGGCATTAGTAAATAGCCCAGGCAGAGTGGGATGGAACTGGGGAGCTATATTTAATTATATAGTAGCAATGGCTAGTTCCGCGATAAGCTTATAATAAAAATATCATGGAATGGAAGACACGTATCAAAAGAAGCGGTCCTAAGTGGTAGAATTACTAATAGCCGAAGGCTATCCTCCTCCACACCCCCTCGACATCCTGACAAAGCGCAAGGAATGCGTCACTTTCCAGCTGTGAGCAAACCCACGACTCTACCAGCGCGGATCGTTCTGCATTTGGCGTTGAAAGGTACGCCGATAAGTCTGATTGCGATATCTCGTTTTGATTTTTAGGTGATGCAAGAGAAATGAATCCTCTTGCCACCGGGCTTTGGGCTGGAATCCGTGGGTTAGCTGGAATTGCTGGGGTAGAGATGGTTTCTGTGCCTGATGCTTTGTTGTTTAAGTCATTGACATGGCCTGCTGACGTGCTATTAGCGAATAAAGTGTTAGATTCGATCGCAGCTGTGTTGGTGGATTCTTGTGCCATATTTCTAATATGTGCGCTTTGAACTATATGGGGTAGGGGCCAGGTAGGAGGATTTGGATTTGGATTTGCATAACTGCCACTGACTCCCCCATCGGAAACTGCTCCGCTGCCGTCTTGGCAGGTGACGTATAATAGGTTCGCACTCGGTTTATTCGACGTAGAAGTGCGCGATTGAGATATACAAAGGGGCAAGCTGGAGCCTGACGGCACAGGATTTGTTGCTTGTCTCCTAGCAGGTAATCGTGACTGAGACGGCTGCTTTGAGCCGGCTTTTTTTCCAGGTTTGGCGAAAGGTAGCTCTCGTTTTGGGGGTAAAATCTGACTAAGAGAGTTTACATCAGGCAATGCTGGGGCTGTGGCTGGCCTGTCTTTGGAGGAACAGTGAGTCATTTTCCAAGGGCCTGGGTGGCTTGAAGGGAAAGGGGGCATATCTCTTTCCACTGGGCGGAAGGCGGACGATGGGCGGTGTATGCCTAGGTAAGGCGAAGCAGATGTTGTATTGTTGAGAGTAGTGCCTCTTTGAGGGATGGATAGCGATGAAGTGTGAGGTCTATCATACGCCTCATGATAGGAGGCTACATTTGTTGACGCATTGCTCAATGAACTAATAAATGACCCTGACGTGCTGGGCTCTGTCAGGGAAGGTGACCGTGGTCGTGTCTGGTGTTGGTCTACTGCTACTGCAGGCCGACTTGAGAGTACTTGCGACATTGTATGTCCACCATTGTTTAGCTTCAGTAGGCTAGGTTTTTGGGAAGAGGGAGAGAATGGCCGATTAGACGAAGCATGCTGAGGTGGGACTGATGCAGAATGCGTGATTGGGCAACCAAGTTTCGTCAATATGGATATAGCATTGGAGTAGTCAGAATCGGAGGAGAACTTGACCTGAAAACGTCGGGTCTAAAGCGTGCTTAGCGGCATATAGATAGATTGGTGGATCTCATATTGGTACCTGATCGTTTTTCATAGGATAGCGCACTGCTAGACAAGGGCACTTTACGATAATGGCCACTGGGTGTTTCACAGTCTGGACGAAAGAATAGGATGACCCCACTGCTGCTTCTCTGGCCAAAGAGTTCAAATTCAGTTGTTCCTAGATTCCAGGGCCTGTGTAAGACAACCCACCATAAGAGCAGGGACGGAATTACATACCAAGATGTCACTTCCCTTATATACTCTCATACATTGGTATCCCTCCGGAAACGAAGCGGAGGTCTCATGGGGCAGGAAATGATCGAAAACAACAGTGAGATCACCACTGCTTGATAGGTGCGTCCATCCTAGCGGAGAGGCACGGTATGCTGAGGTGGTGGAGTATGAGAATTTCAAGATGGGGATATTCAGTGAGTTTACTCTGGACTCAGTACTAGTAATCCCTGTGAGGGTCTGAGAAGCCATCTCATGGCCAGCCTTGCTGACAGTTATTTAACTGGGTTTGGGACGATGCAAGACACGTTTTCCTGAACGATAAAGCTGACTCGCATAGATATATATCACACGCAGAAGTATTGTACACTAGTTAAAACAAGGAAATAATAGTTCGATGTCACCATTGTGGTAGAAACTAGGAAGAAGACAGCGTGAGGATGAAATAAGCTCCTCAAGTGTGAGAGCCTCAATTTCCTAAAGGGGATGGAGATGCACATTACCCGTGCTTTGGTGGACAGTTTGGAGAAGAATTATCCTTGGAAGAAAAACAAAATAAGACAAGTCTCAGAACAGAACAGGCAGGCCATGTAAAAGGTAAAATGAAAAAGCTCCGGCGGATTTATTCATGTTACCTGTCAAGTAACTCGAACTCGATCCCTCAAAAAAAAACTGAATCCTGTGCCTGGTCATGTGATCGTTATCTTACTAAGCCCACCGGCTAACTAGTTAGTTAACGTAATTCCCAAGCGAGCGAGCAGCCCAAGCGAGCGAGCAGCCAAATTCTTCCACCTACTAATTTACCTACTCATCCACTTCAACGCGCAATTATGCCACCAATTCGCTCTAAAGATGCTAGGAACTCTATAGAGATAGAGGGAAGACTTGAACTCGCGATAAATGCTATTAAAAAGCAGGAAATATCCTCTATTTCTGAAGCTGCACGCATCTTTAATGTGCCACGCTCTACACTTGGTCATAGACTCAGTGGTCGATCTTCACGGGTGAATTTACGCGCAAATTCACATAAATTAACTCCTGCTGAAGAGGATAAGCTTGTTCAATGGATCCTAGACCTAGCTTTACGAGGACTACCACCCCGGCCTGCATTTGTGGAGAATATGGCTAATCATCTTCTTGCCATACGGAAGCCTAGCCATACAAACCACCCTCCTCGCGTTGGCAAGAACTGGGTGTCAAATCTAGTGGCACGCCGTCCAGAGCTCCAATGCCGCTTCTCAAGACGCTATAACCATGATCGGGCCAAGTGTGAAGACCGCAGGATTGTGGAGGATTGGTTTAAGACCCTAGAGAGGGTAATGACTGAGCATGGGATTGTGTTTGAAGATATTTACAACTTTGATGAAGCTGGGTTTGCAATGGGGCTCTGTGCAACTACCAAGGTCATTACTAGTGCTGAGCACTACGGACGAGCAACTCTTATACAGCCTGGGAATCGTGAGTGGGTGACTGCAATTGAGTCAGTCAACGCGTCAGGATGGGCCCCTCCGCCGTATATTATCCTCAAAGGTCACAATATTCAGGAAGGCTGGTTTGACGGGCTGCCGGAAGGCTGGAGATTGGATGTTAGTCCTAATGGCTGGACCACAGATGAGATAGGAATCAAATGGCTTACACGGCTGTTTATTCCAGCTGCAAATCCACGCAGGGTTGGAACCCATATTCTTCTTATTCTGGACGGGCACGGCAGTCATCTTACTCCGGAATTTGACCAAATCTGCAGTGAGAATAAGATTATTCCTCTCTGCATGCCACCACATTCTTCACACCTTTTGCAGCCACTAGATGTGGGTGTTTTTGCACCTTTAAAGCGCGCGTACGGAACCCTAGTTGAACAGCGAATGCGGCTAGGATTCAACACCATTAAGAAGGCAGATTTCCTAGATGCCTATCCTGCAGCACGTCGGGAAGCCTTCAAGGCTTCAAACATTCAAAGTGGGTTCAGGGCCACTGGAATAGTTCCATTGGATCCTCAATGCGTTGTTCAGCAGCTGAATATTCAACTCCGAACCCCTACTCCCCCAGCCAGCAGGTCAAGCAATTCAACGTCATCCTGGATCCTACAAACACCTAGTAACCCCCGGCAATTGCAGAAGCAGGTGAATAAGGTCAGAAATCTTATGGATCAGGATCAACCTCATGGGTTAGTGGAAGGCTTTGACCAAATAACCAAGGCCTGCGAATACGGGATGGTCAGCGCCATGGTTATGAAGAAGCAGTATGAGGATATTTTCAATGCAAATGAGAAAGAGAAGCAAAAACGCAAGAGGTCTACACGCAGGATCCCAAGTGCAGGGGGTCTAACTAGGAATGAAGCTCAGAATCTTATTATTCCTGCAGCTGAGCCTGCTGAACAGCCTGTTATTCAACATTCCGTACCTGCGGCCCCGGAGCCTAGACCCCGCATACGAGCGCCACAACGCTGCAGCAATTGCAATACTGTTGGGCATACAAGAATAAGATGTCCTCAACTTCATGTAATTTAATTTAATTTAATTAGTGGTTGGTGGGAGTAGATAATTTGATTTAAATTCTGGTTAGTTGAGATATGCTAGTTTTGCTGCTCGCTCGCTTGGGCTGCTCGCTCGCTTGGGAATTACGTTAGTTAACTGTGGGACGTCTAAGTGGTTGTATTAGCATGTCGGCAGCTGAGGCATATATGTGCGGTGCGCTAGTCCGTGATAGGCAGTGACAACCCAGGATTCCCCCAACGGTTGAGGTGGATGAATAAATCACGTATCAGCTACTTCTCAAAAGAACACACAAGAGCATCTAGAGGGGGTTATAGATTTGAATGGATCAAGCGGTTCAATAAGATGACAAAAAAGCGTCAAATGGGCAGTCATCGACTGCTATTAATGGACAATCATGGTTCTCATCTCACAGAAGAATTCATCCAATACTGCAACCTTCATAAGATTATTCTATTCAGATTTCCATCTCATACAAGTCATATTCTACAACCTCTTGATGGCGTACCTTTTCAGCAGTATAAGCATTATCATACAAAGGCAGTTAATGAGGCCGCCCGCTACGGATATGAGCAGTATGGTGGCAGACAATTCCTTGCTAATCTGGAGAGTGTCCGACTGCAAGCATTCAAACCTGGCACTGTGAGAGCTGGCTTTGCCGACCGCGGAATGTATCCAGTTAATCACGATATAATTCTCAATCGATTGAGACCTCTTACCATTGATGATGCCCCGGATCTCAACATATACAATGGTGATGGTGATGTATGCAATCACTTTACCCCGCCGCCTGCAGATCGACCGTCAACTGCCTCTTCGCAATTAACCTCCCCAGAGACAGTTGCAAAACTACGTCGCCAAATTGATGCAGCAGCCAAGGCCTTACAAGATGTGAAGGATACCCTTACACCTGGTTTGACAAGGCGGTTGGACAAGATCTTCAAGGGTAGCATGGTCCAGGCGGAATTGAACGCGCACCGTGAGGGTGAACTTGCAGGTCATTATCGAGCAAATAGACGTCGGGTCGTCAAATCCTCCCGCAGGCAGGTGCAAGTAGGCGGAGTCCTCACTATTAAGGATGCCAATTGCAAGATCGCGACCCGTAGAGCAGATGAGATGAAAAAGACGTTCAATAAGAATCTTCGGTCGATTGGAATCAAACCTACAAAATCTACAGCCACTCAACCACAACAAGATAATTCTATAGAATCTCAACCTACAGTGGATTCTACACCTTCTAATGAGTATATAGATAATCTTTATGTTATAGATAGATGTGGTGGTGGTTATTAATTAATTTTCGAAGATCACTATATTCAAAATATTTTCCGTACGCTGTGGTTTTCCGTACGCTGTGGCGCACTCACTAGAGAGAGTGAGTAAGCATGGCACGGTTACCACCTACCCCTCACAGCAGCCTAGGGTCAACACTAACCTCCTGGTCATCCTACACCGCCTTCTAAGAACAACCAACTTCTTGTCACGTGAAGAGCTTCATCAACAAATCAGCCTTGTCTTTTCTGCCTTCAATATAACCCAGTTCTGGTGCCCTAGTCCTATGAGAGGAGAGACACCAGATCACTGTTCACCTAGTCCTCTGTGCACATTCTAATGAATGAGCAAATCTAGAGAGAATCCTTTGAATCCCTGGACTTCTTTGTCTCTTGTGTTCTTTCTGTTTATTTTGCCTTTCCTGCCCAACGGCTCTCCCGCTCTCCACGTGATATCCATCGTCGCCAAGACTAACTGATGGAGCCAACCAGTACGCTAGACCAGATCCGGACTGACCCTGCCGCTTTTTATCTCGCGTTGCGCGATGTCCACAAAGACCAGAGGTAGGCTTGCACAAGCACGGTTGAGCGTGCAATTCCTCCTCCTGCGCTCTGATATACCTCCATTATTTGTTGTTCGTGTATATGCCTTTATTTGAGCAGACTGCAGCTAACCCGTGGCTTTTGTCTTCTTCCATTCTATTTTGTTTGGAGCAGCTACCCGATCAGTGTCCCGCTCACACAGGGAAGTTTCTGGGAGGTAAACCGGAAGAAAGTACATCCCCATACTCTCTTTGTCGAGGTCCTTGACCGCGGGGGTTTTGCGGAGGTCTCCGTGGACAAGGATAACTGGTGCGTTATCGCCGGACTCGTGGGGATACCTGAGACGCAGGCGACGACCTTGTCGTGGCACGTTAAGCACCTCTACTACGAGTGGCTGTGGTAAGCATTCTATGTCCGTCTAAATCCAACATGGGCGCCAGAGTTGGAAGTCTCAATTTGATGACCGGACATCCCTTTCTGATTTGAGGAAATTGACAGGCCGTTGGAGGTGGCCATGAATGGTCCGGTAGCGGCGGACGGGAGCCCCGCGGACGCTCGAAGCGCAAGGGGTAGGTTTGACGATTGCAATACCTCTCCAATCTTAAATCGGACCACCTATTCACTTTCTTCCTATCACGGCTTGAATAGTTTACTGACAGTGTTGCTACCAGGCCTCCGACGAGCTCTCCCTTCAACGACAACCCTACACCGCGACAAGTCCGGCGACCAGGTCAGACCCGTATCACGGCTAATACCCGGGTACCTCCCGTCAGCTTTGAACAATTCGATCCCTTCTCTCACTTATCTCCCTCGGTCGTCCCCTACAACCCTA